AAAAAAAAAAATAGACGTACTTTATAAAACGCTTGCTTCAGCAAAATTCCACCACTATGAATCATATTTTGTAAAGTAATAAGAGCTTCTTGGCACAAATCTACATCTAAAGATTCGTTTTCAGCGACTGAATTTTCCTTATTTAAAATTGCACTGTTTTCATATTGACTATCTTTAAAACGTTTTATCACTCGTTTAGACCAGTGCTGTGATTTTTGGGTCTGAAATAAGATAATATATCCTCCATAAGGCACATAAAATATAGATTAAAAAGAAAAATTATTTGTTTTTCCATAATTATCTAATATTTAGTTACCGTTACTTACAATTAATAATACACGATCTCGTTTTGGCGTTATGTCCTTCATTATGAAAGTAAAACATTCATTTGCAATTGTCTCTATGCCCGAGAGTGAATATGTATTGATTAACCACGAAGAGAGACATTTGTAAATGGATATTCTTACATTTTTGAAAGATTTATTACTACTGAATGTTAAATGATTTTCTAAAACTGTACTTGTCCATTGCAACATTTGTTGGAACAGACTTAATATTATTTTTCCAAATGGTATCAGCTCTTGTGCAAATCTAAAAAGTATATTTATATCAAAAAATATATACATACAGCCTACACACATATAGCGATATAATAATATTAATGACACTTACCTGCTTATGAGTGCATTTAAAACAGTGAGTAAGCCAATATGTAATTTTGGTAAAATTATATATAGCATCTGTTCTTTAAAAGAAGTTTTGTCCTTCAGATTTAACGGAGTAATAGCCAATCCTCGACACAAAACCTCTAAGATATCATGAGGTACAACCGAATTTTTTGTATCATATCCACTGCAATCATAAATCAAATGTCTTAAAAACTATGCATTATTGTAATATAGATATAATTAATAATATAAATTAGATAATTATACTTTAACATTGAAGAGAGATAGATGCAGAAATTAAAAAATCTCTGTTTCTGGTCATTGTAATACTGTATCACATTCTTTTCGGATATAGGAGATACATCCAGTTTATCCCAAATATCCACAGTTTTCAACTCTATTAATTCAGAGAATAATTCGTCCATTATAGCATGTAAATTGTTACAAAGTAACGCTTGATTATATGTCCATCGAGTATACATGGATTTGGTGGCTGGTGGTTTAAACGAGCGTTCTGTTGCCTTAGATAAAAGAATATAGCATTTGGCACTTGAGTTAATCAAATGCTCTTGTCTCGAATCTATTTGTTTCATTATCATCTTCTTTATTAACTCCTAAGAACAGTTAAATGATTATTTATTAAATAGCTTATGCAGAAATGTATTCCTTAAAAATCATATTTAAGCAACTGAAAGAAATATATTTTGTATTGCATTACCTGTGACCGCTCACAAACTTCAGGATAATGGTACAGCATAACAGCTATCAAATAATATATTGCACCGCATTCTTCATTGTTCAGCAAAGTATCAACTACAAGTATTAGCTGCCTTATGTTTTGCATAGAAATCTGTTTATATAATTCAGGGATTTTCTTGCAATATTCAAGAAGAAACCCTAATACTTTACATGCCAGTGGTATTTCTTGTATGACAGTGTGCACGTCTTCTAATAGTTCAATACTTTTGTTTATCCATAATAAAGCATATTTTAAAAATATATTCTTTGAGCATCCAGATAAGATTCTATCTAGCATAACTAAACCGCTATATCGAGTAGTTGATACATTTATGCGAGAATTAATACATGCAACAATGGCACTTTGTACAACATCGACCTAAAATATAACACATATAAATATACAAAGCAACTATATAAAATCAAACAATACAATGATGAAGGATAATAAAAGCCAAAAGAAAGATTTAGAAAGATCTCTGTAGAAATTATTGTCACAAACCAACAACCTAATAAGAAATTGTTTTGTAGCATAGCACTGTCTATATTAATAGTTAGGATGATGCTTAGAATACTTAGGATATTATTATATAATATTCAAGATATATATATATTTTTTTTTTTTTTTTTTTGAGAAATTAAATCTCAATCGATATATATATATATATATATATATATATATATATATATA